TCCACACCGTATAAAGCACATGAGTTCTTCTTTTCTTGTCTAAACTATTTTGAACAAGGTCTAGTTCACATGCTAGTTTGGCAAGCTTCTAAGGCATTTGTGCAAAGTGATGATGCAAGAGCAACCTGATTCAACACTGAGAAATTCATAAATAGTATCCAGCAGTAATTAAAGTGAAAAACTACAGCTATGAAAAGCAATCACTCTACAGTATCAGTTGAGCTACTTACACTCTGCAGTGTTAAAAGTGAAATATGTTTACTGGTGCATTCAACTCAGGAGGTATCGCTGTGAATTTTAAATATACCAAGGATTCATTCTGCTTTTTACATAGATTGAATCAGATTAACAGTGATTAAAAAAACATGAATATATACATACAGAAAGGATAGGAGTGGAAGAAAAACACAGTGCCAGAAATCACTGTCTGGAAACATGCTATACATGTAGTCAGTATTTTTGTATTAAAATGAAGGGTTAATTTTGAAGTCCAAAATGATTTTAAGATAATTTAGCGCTCTCTCTAAGGCCTTTCTTAGGAGTCAAGTGTGTGATATTCAAGATGAGGATACGTATAAAGGACTTCAGTTTGAAGAACTGGAATAGCCAGCTGATGTCTTTACCATCTTAATGAGGAAGTCTGCGTTATTGTCAGTAAGTACACACTAAAGTCACAAAAAAACCCTATAAGTTCTTTGTCTTGATTTCTCCTTAGATTAGGGTTAAATGGCAGGTAACATTCACACGGAGTTTAGTTGTTCAGTTTTTATGTATGCAAAACTCAACCAAGCAGTAGAATTTTTCGCTAGCTTAGTAGTATAGCAAATAACGGGCAAGTCTTAAAAGTATCATTCTGATACTTTTTTACTTGTTTCTCAAGCTCTCCTGAACCACCCACAGAGCCTGGATTTACTGGAAGAAACACTCGGCCCTGTATTGTGTAAAACTTGGCACAGCACAGCCTCAAATTCAGTTAAAAGATGCATTTGTTTTGTGTGTTGTTTTTTTTTTTTTATTTGTTTAGAAAGAGGTGAGGAGAAAAAATCAGACAAACACTTAAATCTGTTCCTGCCAGGGTACAGCTATGGCCATTGTGCTGTGGCACATAATCTGTGCTTTTCTGCTCTTCAAAGAGAAGGTGAGAGTAATTTCGGATACTTGGTCATGCTTTGGACAGAAAAAAGCGGTAGCTGTCCCAAAGCAACTTGAGACTTTAACATGCAAAACTTGTAAAGTAGCCACTGTGATTTTTGGACTTCACCCTCTGCTTAAAGGAATTTCTGTGGTTATGCTTTTGATATCAGCCAGATAGTGGGGGAATTCAGATTTTATTTATTTTTACTACTTGGCAGGACAGAATAATTCAGCTGCGTTGTGGATTAGTTGATAATGAAGACAGGAGTAATTTGTGAAATTTAATTCTAGAGCTAGGCTGGGATAAAAATGCTCAGGTTTAGATATACTCGTGGTTTGGACCAACATCTCATGTTCAATTTCTGTCTTTTTGTGACTCTAGTTTTACATACTAACCTGTAAACATCATAATATGTAGTCTTAATTAGAAAGTTCTCTGTATGCCTCAGTACTAGATACAAGGTCTTTAGCAGGACTTTACGTGAGGGAACAGTTAAACAAAAACTTGTATGAATAAGGCACTAGTAAATGTTTGCAGCAAACAACAATTACAGTCTATATTCTTTAAGAATAAAGCCGTTCTGTTTAGGAAATTGCCTTTAATATGACAGAGTTACCAATGCCAGTTAGAAGGGAGTTAAGAGAAAGTGCATCTTTTGGATTATGCCTGTGAGGTCAGTGAGAAACCACTGAATGTAAATCCCTGTTAAAGAGCCTGTGCAATCAGAAGGGCTAAAGCAAGAGGAGACTGGTCTAGATCCCTGTTAAACCAATGCAAAATCGCTGTAATGGATTTGCTCCAGATTTATTTACATTGGTAGAAGGATCTGAAGCCAGAATCGAGAATGCTGTGGTAAATCTAGTTAAACAGTAATAGTGCAAACCCAAAACAAATAATTGGCTACAATCCCCTCAAACAGCTTCAAAAAAGAATCTGCTATTTTTAATTTCCAACTTGCTGAAGTCCAAGGATGCACTTTGTTTTTAGGCTAATGTGACAGATTAAAGTCTTCTGTAGTGCTTTGGAGCTGCTGCCATTCCAAACAGTTATTAAAATAACAATCCATACCAAACAAAAATTGTGCCTGCCAGTACATTTGTAGGATGGCTGACCACTATTTTGCATTTGAAGTTGTTCAAAAAAACCCAAACTCTTCCATTCATAAAACTAGGTCATATTACTGCTTTTAAAATGTACTTTCATGTATCAGTTCTTTTGCAGAGGGTCATTGAAGTACCAGAATTTGTTCATCAAGCCGATAAGAATGCATTTGTAAACTAATGGATCTGGTTAATAGTCATGATGGTATTTCCCTAGGACCTGTCCAGTATACAACTACTACATCTGAATCATTCATTTGGAATAACTAGAAGGTCAGTGATAACTCTACAGTTCGATTTCGTCACTAAATCCTGCTTTGTAAACAGACAGCTTGGCTTTATCATCTGAAAAATTTCTGTTCCGCTCAGATCCTCTATTATTTGTACAAGATGGCATTCAAAAAACTTAATGCATTTCTAGCATCCGTAATGCAAGAGGGAAAAAAATTACAGTGATTCATTCCTGTATATTATTGCCATCAGGTGCTACAAGTAACATCTCTGAACAGTGGGGTTTTTTTGTTTGCTTAGGTTTTTTTTTTTTGTATCTTTTGTAAGGACTCAGTATTATGTTTATGTCAAGCTTTAAGATCACCCATCCTTGGGGACCTCAAACTTTACAAATATCTCAACCAGCTTTTAAAAACGTGGTGGATTGTTTGTTTGTTTGGTCGGTTTGGGTTTTTTTTTTAGCTTTGACTTGTACGACTAAATTCATTGGTGGTATAGCTTGGCTGAAATTTTCACCAGAAATTAATGTGGACTCATATGTATTTCTTAAACAAAACAAAAAAACCCCAACAAGTAAATTAAGTGCTGGGGATCTCTCTCCCATACATATCCTGAAGTTATATACAGAAGGAAGAAAATACAAAGATTTCTCTTCACAAAGATCTTCCCTTCATAGCCACTTGGGAAACTTTATTCTTAGAAATTTGTTTCTTATATGAATGTCAGAATATATGCTTTTCTGTGTGTGTGGAAGGAGGCTATTAAATGGCATGTGTTTATCTGAATATTAGAAAATGTTACTGAACATTAGAGCTGTGCAGAATCTTTCCTGTAAAAGTTGACGACTTCAAAATATTTTTGTTATGTCATTGTTTTCAACAAGATGACATAAATCTTGTCAATTGCAGAAGAAACAAACATTTTTTGTCAAAAGTGTGCCTTTTGGAGTCATAACTAGTTTTTTGGTGTGTCTCTGTCTCTAGCTGGCAATTTGAAGTTGTGCATAAATTACCTTATTAGAATTTCTTCAGCTGTGCTTACTTCAAAATAAATTTGAACTTTTTTTTAATCTTGTAAATGAAACCTGTGTTTTGAAAGTCAAGCTGGGTTTTTAACTTGTTCTGAAGATTAAAACAGTACATTGAGACATGGTTGGTTTTCCTTCTCTCTTTGCCCACTGCTTCCAAAGCGTGCCTTCAGTAACATACAGCCAGGTGAGAAAAGTCTGCATTTTGGAAAAAATTTTGTGAATATTTGACAAAATGCAGAGTGCAGTTTGCTTTCATGGCCGTATTTCTTCAACAGAAGCAGAAGGATAATAATGAAACATTTTTATTAAGAAAATAAGCTATTATAGCTCTGAATGAAGAAAAATCTGTTGTCAAACATTTATAAATATTTTTTTAAAGAGCAAATTCACACTTATACAGAACAGTTGCTTCTTGATACAACTGAGTTGTGTTTGTAGAGGCACGCTATTAACATCAACTGAAACTAGCCTAAATGAAGGCATCATGTTTCTCTTGGTGCTGATGCATTCACCTATATGGATAACATTTTAACAAAAAATGACATTTTGTCATTATTATTCTTTCAAGTAAAAGTTAAGTATGAAAAATCTTACAGATGTAAAATCAAACAAAATTACTATATGATCGTTTAACAACAATTATTGTATGATTTTACATAAACCTTGACCTTCCTAAAAAGCAGTATTTGATTTTTATATATGCATTTGTTTGATAATGAGTCATCAAGCAACTGCTGACTCACACTTGATAAATATTTAACTTGGGAAGAAATTTTCTTAAGATTACAAAAAAAAAAAAATCAGTCCTAGGTCTTTGCTTTTTATGCAGAGATTTTCGTTGTTACCTGAAACATAGTATAGTTGGAAATAACTGTTATGTTGAAAGGAATCCACATTACTTAGACAAAAAATCCATTTATCTGAGAGGCTTTAGGGATTATGATGAACTTGATGAGGCCAACCCCAATCCCTCAAAACCTTCTCATACTTTTAGGAGATGAATGAATTGCCAATCATGTAACTCTAATGTATTTTAAGGCTAGTTAGAAGACATGGAACAGTGATACTCAACTAAATGCTCAAAACTAGGAAGAATTTGTATGACTGGGTATTTATTTAAAGGGAATGATTTATATGGGTGAAAGTTTGCTTATTCCTTTATGTTTTCTAATACAGTAAACCTACCATCTACTTGTATGTCAATAATAACTGATCTTAGGATGCCATTTCATAGCTTGAATCTTGGTTTTGCCTCAAGGTTCATTCTAGCCAGGATGGCAATTACAGAAAGTCCTAAAACTGAAACAGAAAAATTGACACATGCTGTTAAATTCAAACGCGGAACATCAAATTAACGTGGAAGGAGAAATGACATTCAGTGTCAGAAGTAACAAATTTGAAAGTCTTAAATAATTCAATATAGAGAATATAGTTTAGACAGTTTTTATATAAGTGTGCTTTTTCCTAAAAACACCCCCCCAAACCAAACTTTTTTTTTTTTGCTTTTTCTTTGAGTCTTTTGTCTGTAAATATGAAAGAAGGTTACACCCCAATGTAATTCTTCATTGCCATACCAAACAGTAAAATAGTCTTTCTAGTTCACATTGCTCATGGCAGTCTTATTTGATGTTGCTTTATTAAGTTTGTGATTAAAGCAGTTTGGGATTTTTGTTGGTTGTAAACTTTTGGCATAATGTGAGTACCAGTCCCTTTCAAAAACAGCCTTGAGTTGCTTAATGATGCTTGTGCTGTTCCCCGCGTCTGCTTGGTTGATAACAAGGCCAGCTCCAGCATTCTGCGTAAAAGCATTTCCTACCCAATCAAAATTACCTACGAGCAAAGGCAGGAATATACAATGAGTTTCTAACATTCAGAAAAGCAAGCCAGCTCCCTGAAGGCAATGCAGCGTGATACAGTGTCATTTCCCCCAGTGCCTATCCGGGCAGAGACGGAAATAAGTTTTCTATACTAGCAGGAAAGAAGAAACTCCATTACGTACCAGTGCGTAGTGCTGATCACTTCTGGAAGTTTAAGAGCTCTAGTCCTTCATTAAGTGAAAACAGGTTCTTCTATTTATTCAAAACTAACTTGCTCTTCCTTTCATGCATATTGTATTATTACTCCATTTACCTTCCTCATCGGCCTTTCAGTGCCAAGAATGAAAAAATATTTTTTTCTGTATAAACAATTTAAAGTAGATGGGAAGGAGAGTGGTTGCTCCATTATGCTGAGCCAAACCAATAGATCTTTTACAGGTTACCCCTTGATAGATACTCTTTCAGGAAAGAAAAGCAGGTTTTACTGGTTTATGCCAGTTATTAGCACCTAAGGTAATGAATGAGCATTTCAAATCCTAGTGATTGCAAGGCAAAGAGGATAATTGGATTAACGGAAAACAGGTAAACCAAGTGTTTCAGTTATTTCTTTTTATTTCACTAGAACTAAAACTATTTAAGTTCTACATTTATAACACATTCAGTATTTTGGAGAAAAAATGCTGTTACTAGAGGTCATCTTTTAAAACAATATCTGAACATACATAAAACATGAAGGTATCTGAGAAATTTATACCCTTTCTTTCAGTGTCATTACAGCTACTTCAG